GAGGCAGGCAAGGTTGAGAGTTGGATGGAGGTAAGAGCTCTGGACTTGCATCTCTGTGGTCTCTGGGGCTGTTATCTCTGATTCCTCTCCACAGCCAGTAGGGGGCAGTCGATAGATGAGGAATTAGTGAGTAGGGAAGGGCTGTGGCAAAGCAAGGCTGGGTTTAGAGGAGTTGGAGGAGGCAAGAGTAACCCCTCACCAGAGGGGCATCTCATTCTATGATTTGTTCAGATGACCATGGTGGTGTGTGAAGCAGAAAATGAGGAAGTAAGGTTTTGAAGGCTGGGAAGCAAGTTAGGAAGTTTTTCTCCCACAATAGATAAAGTAAGGATTTCAACTAAGCATAAGAATTGACTTTAGTATCTTGAAGTCAGAGGGCCATCTTTCACAGAATCAATAGATGTTCTTTCTAAGGGAGAAGAGGCAAAGCCTGGGTAAGGGTCGCTCTGGCATGGTCTCTGCCCCTCACCAGCTGCAGCATACTTCCCACACTTTCTGTCTAGTTCTGCTGAGCTCAGTTCTTTCATGTGTGTGACATCAAGGTCATGTGAGGCCTCCAACGCCCGGGCCTTGAATAGGCCAATTTCATAGTGTGTGTGTGTGTGGTTTGCCTCAGACAAAGCCAGAGCAGCAGACTATTACTGAGGCAAAAATCTCTGCTTGATAAATGTTGAGACAGGCGGTGGAAGGCATCTATCAGGTGGCATTGGTACCTTCATCTGTTATGTGAAATGATGAATGGTGCAGACAGTGTCATTTTGCTTGATGGTTCTGATGAAATCATGGCAGTAACCCATCATGGCTGCTACTCAAACCCTTTATAGAGAGAAAATGTACTTTAGCGAGTAAGAATCAAGGGAAGTTTAGGAATCTAGGAGTAGTGCAGGAGTGGAAGTATGCTCCCCTGTCTGGTTACATGAACTGGAACCTGGAGGGTCATCATCAAATATGGTGATAAGTGCTGGGCCTCCTTCCTGCCCTCTAACCCCTTCTTAGTCTCTGAAAGCTGGATTATAGCCCAGATGGTCTGAGTAGCCTCCCAGTAGGTCACTCTTCCTCTTGTATCTTTCTGGACTAGCTCACTTTTCAACTGTGGTCAGAATTTTTTTTTTCTTTTGTCTTTTTGAGACAGGGTCTCCCTGTAGCCTAAGCTGTCCTGGAACTCACTATGTAGACCAGGCTGGCCTTGAACTCACAGAGATCCTCCTGCCTCTGCCTCCTGAGTGCTGGGATTAAAGGCATGCGCCACCATGCCTGGCACAGAATTTTTTTTATTCTTGTAGTTTACTTCCTACTAATTTCTTATCGCTAAAACTCAGATTCTCTACTTTGGTATGAACATTTAAAAAGTTATTCTCCAGCGTATTCATCAAGTCTCTTACTTCCATACTTCCTAAATACCCCTAGAGAAAAGACCACGTCAGATCCCCTATATTCTAGTTTACTTTCATGTTGCTGTGATGAAAACACTCTGATGCATACCAACTTGGGGAGGAAGGGTCTATTTGGCTCACAAGCACAGTTCATCATCAAGGAAAACTAAGGCAGGAACTTAGGGCAAAAACTGGGGGCTTCCCTGACTTGTGTTCAGCCTGCTTTGTTATATAATACAGGACCACCTGCACAAGGGTGGCATCACCCACAGTGGACTAGGCCCCTCCCCACATCACCAACAATCAAGAAAATGCCCTACAGACATGGCTACAGGCCAATCCAATGGAGGCAGTTCCCCAATTAAGACTCCCTCTACCCAGGTATGTCAAGTTGACAACTAAAGCTGTCCAGCACAACTGACTCCTTTGTCAACTTGACACACAAACACATCACTATTAAACCACAAGCTTTCCATTTCTTATGTTCAAGGCGTGATGTCAATATTAATATCACAACATAAGACAGTACAACTTTAAAGTTTCACAGTCTCTACAAAAATTCAAATATTTTAAATATTCAAAGTCTCTTTTAAAATCTTCTAACTGTGGGCTCCTGTGAAATCCAAGACAAGTACTATCTTATTTCAAAAGGGAAGGATTCAACACATTTAAGCAACACCTAAGTCCAGCAAAGTTGCTCAGTGTTGGACATCTAGGATTCACGCACAATCTTCTGGGCTCCAAAGGACTTGGGCAGCTTTACTCCTCTGGTTCTGCCATTCATACCACACACAGCTTGTCTGATAGGCTCAGGCCAGCTGCTGGTCTCTTGTTACTCACAGCTGATTTTCAGCCCCAACTGACCAGCATCAATTGCCTCAGCACAAAAGATTTCACTTCCAAAAATTCTTAATTCTTCTTAATTCTGCTCAAACAGTCCTGATGGAGTCTTTGCTTCCCTTTGAAGCTTCACAAGCCATGCCTCTATCATCTACACCTCATTCAGCATTGTTGTCCTAGTTTCTGTAGACTAGCCCACTGAACTCCAAGGATTTTCCAAACCAAGGCTCCCTAAATTTCCATAATCCTCCCAGACATGTAGGGTCAGGTCTGGTACCAATTTCTATTTTAGTTTGCTTTCAGAGTGTTGTCATGAAAACATGCTGACCAATACCAGCTTGGGGAAGAAAGGGTTTATTTGGCTCACAAGCACAATCCATCATCAAGGGAAGCCAAGGCAAGAGCTCAGGGCAGGAACTGGGAGCACAGACCATGGAGGAGTGCTGCTTACTGGCTTATTCCCCTAACCTGTGCTCAGCCTGCTTTCTTATACAATACAGGACCATCTGCCCAAGTGTGGCACCACCCACAGTGGACTGGGCCCTCCCACATCACCAACAATCAAGGAAATGCCCCACAGACACGGCTACAGGCCAATACAATGGAAGCAATTCCCCAACTGAGATTCCCTCAAGCCCAGTGTGTCAAGCTGACAACTAAAACTGTCCAGCACAACCTATGTTCCTTGAGAGTACACCCCTTGTTGCTCATGTACACCACACTACCCCTGCCTTGAGTGCCTTTGTCTCCATTCTCAGTTTAATCCTTCTGCTCTCTTTTCCATTTGCTTGTTTTTAAAAATTCTTCCACGATTTCATTATACAGTAATATAATTATGTTATATAATATACGTGTAATTATATATTGTACTTTGATCGTCTCTCCCCATGATCCTCTTTTCCCCTTTTTCCTCCCACTCAAACCCTCCTTCTTCCCAACAAGTCCTCCTCCAAATTCCATGTCCTTTTTTTTGTTTGTTTGTTTCTTTGTGACTCACTGCATTTAAATAGGGTTTCCTGCATGAGGATGGGTAAGGGTAACTTTTGAACATGCCTCAGCATAAGTGACTGTTATGTGACATCCCTCAGCATGAGTGACTGTTGCACACTCAACCCTAAGTGGGACATCTGGATCACCTCCTCCAAGACTCCAGGAATATCAGGGAAGAGGGCAGAACGAATATAGGAGCTGAAGGATAGAAAGGGGTGCTGTGAAATACTATCTTCTGATCACGATGTGGATGCTGCACCCATGAACTCACAGCTACAGTGGCAACCTGCACAGGACTGGGCCCGATAACATTAAGTCATAGAGAAGGAGCTATAGGCAGCTAATGGTTGCTGGGGGAGGGCCGTATTCCTCAGTGGAAGCCACTGGAAAGCTGCCCTTCTGCTCTTTTAGGGCTCAGTTCATGAAAACCTTCTAGGAAGTCCTCTTTACTCACCATCCTAAGAATTTCTCTCCAAACACTAGGATCCTGTAACCTGTCCATGTGTTCTGACCATATTCTACTTTTACTGTGCATCTATTTTTCTCAGTAAAATTTATTTTGTAA